AGTCTTTGAAACTAACAACTAAGGAAAATATTAAAACTGTGTTTTCAAATCCATTTTTCCCAAAATTACTGATTTCTGTTTATTTTGAGAAATATATTTACAGAAGACTCCGAGAAATGTGAACCTAATTTTTTAATTTTTATTTTTATTTATTTATTTTTTGTAGTTGTTGATAGACCTTTATTTTGTTTATTCATATGTGGTGCTGGGAATCAAACCCAGTGCCTCACACATGCCAGGCAAGTGCACTACTGCTGAGCCACAGACTCAGCCCCCTAAGTTTTTTATTTGTTATTTATTTATTTTTAGTTGTAGATGGACACAATAACTTTATTTATTTATATTTTTATGTGGTGCTGAGGATTGAACCTAGTGCCTCACACGTGCTAGGCAGGTGCTCCTCCAATGAGCCCCAACCCTAGCCCTGACCCTAAATTTTATTATTAAAAAGGTGGTAGAACAGAAAGCTGCTGGGCTGGGATTGTGGCTCAGTGGTAGAGCGCCCGCCTAGCATGGGTGGGACCCAGGTTCGATCCTCAGCACCACATAAAAATAAAGGCATTGTGTTGTGTCCATCTATACCTAAAAAATAAATATTATAAAAAAAAAGAAAGAAACATGCTGGCATTTTTGTGTGAGGTGGCACAGTGTTAGAACCAGGCCTGCTGCACTACAGATGTCCTTATAAAGTTCAACTTAAGCAGGTGGTTTCCTACTTGGAAAAATAGGATTGTTCTTGTGACACTTGAATAATGTATGTGAGATCCCTTTGAAAATGCTAATGTGACATTGAAGCCATAATACATCCTAATGTTTCTTTCTTATGGTAATATTCCTTAAAGCAGCCAAATATTAATGTTTTTGAAAACTCCTAATTTCGAATGCTAAAGTTTCTGTTTCTTTTAAATTGGTTCATTCATCACAAACTTTTTAATTTTGTTTTTCTTTTTTAAAAATTTTTTTTTGTAGTTGTAGATGGACACAATGCTTTTATTTTATTTGTTTATTTTTATGTGGTGCTGAGGATTGAACCCATAGCCTCACGCATGCCAGGCAAGTGCTCTGCCACTGAGCTATAGCCCCAGCCCTTTAATTTTGTTTTTCAACCCAGGATTGGACCACTGAATTTAGTTTCTAGGAAATTCCCTAATTACAGAATTTTCTTTCATTATATCCAACTACTCCCGATTTCATCATGAAAATCTGATTTGAAACTCAACTTACAAAAATACTGAAAAATTAAATGGGAATATTTGTATACTAATGTGATACAATAGTGTTGTTTCACATTTTTCCATGTTAAAGACTATTCTGAACTCGAAATCTTTTAAATAAATAAATAATACTGAAATCTACTGTGGTTGTGTCTGAGTATGTTATTTGTATAACAACTGAATATTTCTAGAGACTTCTATTTTCCTTTGTCATTTTTTTTTTTAATGTTGCCTTCTCTTACCTAATTCTGAAGACATGATTTCAGAGCCACATCTCTCTGGTTCAAACCCCAATTCTGCCACTTAATCTCTTATAATTCCATAGCAAAGTTATTTAAGTGCTTTGAGCCTCTGTTTCATCTGTGAATTGGGAATAAGACTAGTACTCACCTCGTTGAATACAATGTCTGTCAATCACTGTTATAATGCCTAAGTAGTATTTTCAGTATTTCACAGATGCAGAAGTTGAATATTTTAAAATATTGCTTCCTTGGTGGAGAGCTATTAATGGTTTCACATGTTTGGTTAATTCTTGTCTGCATGTTAAATGTTAGGACATAATACTGCTGAAAAGTAATGAGCCATCATTATAGGATCCTGTATACATTAAAATTTACAGTAACTCATAAAATTGATTCAGAGACAAAGGATTGTTGTTCAGTTCCCAAAACTTATAAACTCCTGATCTCCAAATGGCTTTTCTGCCACGTACTACTTCCACTTTGTGGAAGTCATTATTTTTTCTTTTAGTAGATAAAACAATATTCTGAAAAGGAGGTTGAGGTGATCAGAAAATTGTGAACATTTTAAAGAACTTTGTTTCTATTTTATTTTGAGGCAGGATCTTGCTAAATTGCCTAGGCTGAGCTGGAACTCATGATCCTCCTGCCTTAATCTCTTGAGTTGCTGGGGTTACAGGCACACCCCACTGTGTTTGGCTGTTCTTATTTATTTATTAAAAAAAAATCCTACATCAACAATGTTTGTATGCCAAGACAGCTTCAGAGATACCAATTAGGAGGCTACTGCCATATTCCAGGATAGGAATGCATGTGATTTGGATTAGCTGTCAAAGGCAGACCTAAGAAGTGACCACTAAGGTGGGAAAGAACGGAACAGGTGAGTGTAGGCGTGTGTGCGTGCGTGTGTGTGTGTGTGTGTGTGTGTGTGTGTGCACGTTTGAGTGAAAAACATATTTTGAATATGTTAAGTATGTGATGCTTGTTTTACTATTTTAAAATTAATTAAATTATTATTATTATTATTATTTTGACAGTGCTAGGGATCAAATCCCGATCCTCACACATACTAGTAAGTGCTCTATTACTAAGGTCTACCCCGTCCCTGGTCACTGGATCACTGAGATGTTTATTTTACATCTGAATGGAGATGCCAAGTAGGCATCTGGACCTCTAAAGATAAGCCTGGAAAGAGGCATTTGGAAGTCATCAGTCATCTTACAACTGATACTGGGAACCAAAGTACTGGATAAAATCATGTAGGAGGATTGTCCCAAGAAGAGAGCTGGGGTCTGAGCATAAGGGCACTGAATCATTTAGAGGCCAGTAAGAGGAAATGCCAGCAAAGGACTCTGGGAAAGAAGCAGCTAGTGAGAAAAATGGATTTCCCACTGCTAAATAATAGAATAGGAAAAGAACCGGGAATTGACCATTGGCTGCCTGTTGTATACCCAGTAGTTAGCTCAGTGACAGGCACATACTTAAAGTACAATTAATACGTGCTGAATGAATCTTTACTTCTACTTCTTTGTCAAACATTTGTTGGGTTCTTCTAGGGTTCCAGGCACTGTTCTAGGTCCTATAGATTCATAGCATACTGCCTCTAAACACAGATTCTTGTGTGGGCCATATACATGCATACATACGAGTCAAAACTACGTATTGCTATTTTATAATGCTTCGTGTTCCTTTCTTCTACCTTATCCTGAGGAAAATGGGACTGAATAGCTTGAGGGTACTGAGTTGGTGAGCAATGATGAGCTGGAATGTATAAATCTGGAGCTCTCCTGTAAGCAAAGATATTGGGAAGTGGTAGAAGCTGAAGGAGAGGGTGGTGGGACTTTAAAATGAAGAGGCAGCCGCATCCAAAGGTATCAAACTCTAAACAGAATGATGCCGACTTCATTCACATAACCGAATTCTACTAGACAACTAACGGTTATGAAGAACACTTCCAGCTTTATCACTGTACCTAATTTATCTGATAAGTGTGGAGAAAGAGTGGGGGGAGTGCACAGGAATATGGCTCAAAGTTAATATTATAAAACTATCAAGTTAGCCTCAAGATGAATTGAACTGTTACCCTTAGGATTACTACTCTGGAGTTCCTGCTTGAACAAAACAAACAAACAAAACAAACCAAACAAACAAACAAAAACCCAAAACCCAAAACAAAACCTTGAATCAGAAGGAAAAAACAACAACAACAAAAACTTGACTCACTAATGTGAGTCCAAATCCATGCCAGAAAAAAGAGAAAGTCTTGAAGAGAGGAAAGGAGAATTATGGGTAAAACACTTACACAACTGTCTTACACTATTTCTGAAACTTACTTTGCAGTCTTTCCGGAACATGTCTGAGGTACTTCAATGTCTTGGACTGCATACTTTTGTGACCCTGTTAACTTACACTGTTAGTTAGAGGAGAGGCATGAGCCACTCTGGCATGAGCTACCCCTGCAGCCAATAAACCGGCTTCCTGTTAATTTCTCAGGTGTCCAGACTCATCTGTCCTAAATCATTCCCTGAAACTTCACTTTCTAGTCAGGTGAAGTGCAGGCACACCTGTAATCCCAGTGACTTGGGAAGCTGAGGCAGGAGGATCACAAGTTCAAAGCCAGCTTCCACAATTTTGCAAGGCCCTAACCAACTTAGAGAGACTCTGCCTCAAAAATTAAAAAGGGTTGGGGATGTGGCTCAATACCCGGTTCTAAAAAAAAGAAAGAAAGAAACTCCACTCGTTCACCCCACAAAAACGGGAGGCGGGGGATTACAGAAATCTTTCTTTAACCCACAGTTAGAAGGTAGGTTATCTTTCCAAAACTAATTGTTCTGCAAGCTGTATTCCTATGGTCCGTTTTTTCGTTTATCTTACGGCTCTTCTGCCGTTCTGAACTAGAGTTATCTGACTGCGGCAAGCTGTTTGCCTTGAACTCCAAGTAGTTGGGAACGACCAGTTATTTCATGCATAAAGCGGGTGGGAGGCCAAGCCTTTAGAAGAACCTGAAGTGTAACCACAGCGAATGTGTGCGGTGGGGAAAGGCACAGAAACAGGGTACTGCGAGCCTTTATCCGGAAAGACTACGGGAACCACGACCCCACACTAACGATACAGAACTGCTAATACAGAGGTGAAAATAAAACCAGGGCTCCACGCACACTCATGGCTCCATGCACACTTCCCATTCGCTGGCCGCTTCTCTGATCCAAAGTCTATCTTCAAACCAGGGCTAAATCAGGCTGGATCTGACTGGCCAATCAGAAAACCAGGACCACCGCAGCCAATGAGAAACCAGGGCGCTTTGGTGGGGTGAGACTTGCGGCCCGGGAGGGGAATCCTGTAGGTCTTGGTGAGGCGATTGGGCGGGACTGATACTTGATTGGCAGGTGAACGATCCACAGTCTTAGAACGGAAACGCCACACGGTACGTGCAGGTGGGGGTGTGGGCGGGGCAACAGACCTATCATTAGCCAATAGATGACCCACTACTAGCAGAGGGAAAGATAAATCACCAATGGCAGCACGTATATGGCGCCGTGGGCGGGGTTTAGGCTCAAAGGGTTCTACGAAAGGCGCGTGAGTGTCGTCCTCGCAGTCACAGCTGGCACCTCCTTCTGACTTCATTCATTCGGTTTTTTTTTTTCTTCCATTCACGGAGGTAGAAAGGCCTGCTCGAAAGCCATGGAGAGCGCTCTCCCTGCTGCCAGCTTCCTGTACTGGGTAGGCTTTGGCACCGTGGCCTACCTGTCCCTCCGCATCTCGTACTCGCTCTACTCGGCTCTTCGCGTCTGGGGTGTGGGTAACGAGGCGGGGGTCGGCCCGGCGCTCGGTGAATGGGCAGGTGAGTCGGATGCAGCGCCGCGCCCTCCCTCCTGCCCCGGCTCGCGGCTCGGCGGGGCCCGCTCTGACCAGGACTAGGGCTTGGCCTTCCCCTCCCCATCTTCCCTCGCCTTCCTCCCGCTCCTGTGTCCCGCTCACCCGCCCTATCTCCCTTAGCCATCTTACGGTTTGCTCAGACTTGTGGACTTTTAAACTACTAAATACGTTGCTGACTGAACTCCGGGAATCTGAAGTGGGAATCTCACTTGGAAGGTGCGAGAAATCTGCCTTAACTCTGAGGGGCTTCTGTCTTTGAAGCCATTCCGGGTTCGTGGCTGCAGTCAGGCGGCTTCCTACTCACCTTGAGCCTCTCCTTCCGAGTGCTTTTAAAAGAAAAGTTTTTAAAAACAGACGCTGTGCTTAGGAGGAAAAACCTTCGGTTGACTTGTTCCGAGTGAGGATGGGGCAAGGGGTGTGGAAGCGTTAAATTTCACCCTCTTTCGGATTTGTGGAACCTTGCCTCCTAACTGGAAATTTCATGTAATTTACAAAACTCCCTTTAAAAAAAAATTCTCCCTAAACTTTTCTGGCGTTCAAATGAGTAGCAAAAGCTTATTGCTTTCTCAGAACAATCGCTCTTCACGTTGCAATCAGCAACATGGCAGAAGGTCGTTTGTGGGGAAAAGTATCCCTAGTTCCAGCCAACTGGAGGACTTTAAAAATGGAGGACAAAGGTCAGATTGGAGAATTTGGAAAAATTACTTGTTTTTGTTCTCCCTTTTTTTTTCCTCTTTTCCTGTCCCCCTCCTTTTTTCTTTATTTTCCCTCTGTTTTGGCTTTTTAAAAACAAAACAAAAAACAAAAAAAACCCAAGCGTTTGCTTATGACATTCGTGGTTGTTCTTTGATGTGATTATTCATTTTGATGTTCACTTCTGATTTTATTGAACTTTGGTGTGGTTAGGGTTGCTTGCAGACTGAGCTTAAGTAAGGTACACGAATGTTATTCCATGTTATTTGTTCATTCAAAAACACTTAAAACAAGTTTATTGGGAAACATATAATAATGTTAACCTTTTGGGATAGCAGCCTACACATTAGGAGAAAACATACACAAGTAGGAATGGGTGTATAAAATCTTTCCCTGATGTAAGCAGCTATTGACATAACACTTCACAGTACTTGTTATTCTTTGATAGTATCAAAGAAAGACTTTGTCAACTTTTTCATATAATAATCAAATTATAATTTCAAAATTAACTTACCCAATTTCTTAGTTGTTGGTTTGGAAAAACTTGTTTGTGGACTTTGTCAACAGTTACACAAGATACTAAAGCTATGGAGAATCAATTATCAAGATAAAAATTTGTGGGCTGGGGATTTGGCTCAGTTGGTAGTGCACTCGCCTGCCATGCGCCCGGGGCGCTGGGTTCGATCCTCAGCACCACATACAAATAAAATAAAGATGTTGTGTCCACCGAAAACTAAAAATAAATATTAAAAAAAAAGATAAAAATTTGTAATTTCCAATCAAAGAATAGTGTAACTAAATTTTAAACTATTTAAAATAGTAATTTAAATATTACTATTTAAAAGTAATAACAATTTTAATAACTTTTAAACTATTTAAAATTGACCATACTAATAACTCAAATAGTTAAGTCCAAGTCATCTATATGTAATGCCTTAGTAAAAGTCAAATAATGTAACATTGTCATTTCATTGAAAACATTTGGCCCCAGGGGAAGGAAATTGATAAATAAGAGAAGAGTTTATATAGCATTTAGAATTAAAACATTGGGGCAGCAGAGAAGATCATGGTATACCCTGGATTATTGGAGAATCTTAATTTTTTAAGTTTTTAAACAGAAGCAGTGATCAAATTGGTATTTATAACATTATTTACATGTGGCCTGGATCTACAAAAAATAAAATAAAACAAAACCCTCTACTTCCTTAGTCTCTCCAAACAGGGAACCTTTTAAAAATAAAGGAAATTAAGATCAACACATTTTAAACAGATTCTTCACATCAATTGGAGGTGGTGGTGGACACTTGAGTAATTAGGGTTTAATTACCTAAAAATTAGGTAATTTGTTTAACCAAAGTTATGATTTTTACAACTAATCTTTATGTGTAAATAATACTAATAAGATGTCTACTTTATAAAACAGTCTGTTTATTCCTGTGCCAGCCTGGTGGGAGATAGTATTTGGGAGGCATTGCTTAATTGTACTACTCATTTAATATTTTCCTCAGTAATGTGTATTGAATTGATAGTATATTTTTATTCTTGTTATTCTTAAATCTCTTCATGTGAGTAAATTTAATTTTCCTCAGATTTGGAATCTGAAGTTCAGGGACTGTGGATTCTCAGTTTTTTTTGTTTCCCACAGTAGCTTGCACATTCAGATATGAGTTCTTCTAAACTTAAACTTGGGGGCTGGGGATGTGGCTCAAGCGGTAGCGTGCTCTCCTGGCATGCGTGCGGCCCGGGTTCGGTCCTCAGCACCACATACAAACAAAGATGTTGTGTGCGCCGAAAACTAAAAAATAAGTAAATATTAAAATCCTCTCTTAAAAAAAAAGAAATAAACTTGGAAAACCCCTGAAATACAAGTATGCTTTGCCATCAATAAAAATATTCTAGGCCACAGATTCACAATACCTTTATTTCATTTATTTATTTTTATGTGGTGCTGAGGATTGAACCCAGTGCTTCATATATGCTAGGCAAGCACTCTACCACTGAGCTACAACTCCAACCCAAGGCCACAGGTTCTTTAGTTAAGTTTTTAACACCATATACTCCTTACTCTTCACCGCCCCCCCCCATTCCTCTCCTTTAATTCCTCATCAGGAGTTCAATCAACTTCTAGTTCTCTCTCCAGTCATATTCCCACTCAAGTGAATCACATTGGTTCTACTGGGCTCCTAGTAGGTAGGTTTAGCCAATCTAGAGGGTAGGACTCTTTTGCCTGGCATACAGATACTGTATTTCTTGAAAGAACAAAGAGATCCCATGAAAGTGGAGCTTCAGTAGTTTGAATAAGTAACCAAAAGACTGTGTAATAAGTAACCAAAAGATTGCCAATGAAGGTAATCAGTTCTTACTAAGGAGAGAACTGTCATTACTGCTGATCAGTAAAGAATGTAATCTGTAGAATTTGGTTTGAACATGGATAAACTTTGCATTTACTTGGCACTTTCTATCACTGGAGATCATTAAAACAATTACTATTGAAACAGAGATGATAGATACAAGGGCAAGGTAAGCATACTTCCAAACTCAAGATATTTGATAACTTTAAACATTAGACGGCACTCTGAATGCCTGTTTTAGTTTTGAATGGAGAAGGTATTGCTCCAGATAGCAAAGAATAAATTATCCACTAATTATTTTATTAGTTAGATTTTTTAAAAATACCTTATTGAGATGCTATTCATATACCATACAATTTATCCATTTAAAGTGTACAATTTAAGATTTTTATTATGTTCACAGGATTGTGCAGCCATCCTCAGATCCACTTTCAGAACATTTCATCCTCTGTCTTATACTCCATTTGCTCTCACTGCCTAACCCCTATCCACTCCTTCCCTAGGCAGCTGCTTTGCTACGTGGATTTGCCTTTTGTGCACATTTCATATAAATGGAATCATTCAATATGCATTTTTTGTGTGTGACTGGCTTTTTTCATTTAGCATAATATTTTATTTTATTTTTAATATTTATTAGTTTTTTTAGGTGGACACATAAATCTCTTTATTTTTATGTGGTGCTGAGAATCGAACCCAGTGCCTCACGCATGCCAGGCGAGCGCGCTACCACTTGAGCCACATCTCCAGCCCCAGCATGATATTTTAAAGGTGCATCCATCTTATAGCATGGAATCATTTTTATTGCTGAGGAATATTCTGTTCTGTGGAATGAGGTTAGATTTCACGTAGGGCCTTCACCTCTGCATTTTGCTCTCTGCATATCTGCATTAGCAAATCCTCAAGGTGTTGCAGCTTTGGGTGCTGATGGAACTCATCTAGATCTATAATAGTCCAAGGTTTTTCTAATTCAGTGGTTCCTGAGCACTTATAAAGGACATGTTGTGCTGGAGTTCTCTGGAAAAGCCATTCATCAAAATTGCTTAGCCAAGCTCCAGCAATCAAAGGATTTCCAAGATTACCAGTCTGATCACATTGTGTTTGCACATTAGATACATATATAGGATTTACCTGAAATGGCTCAAGACTGCTGAAGAAATCAGAACTTATCAATAGGGCCTTTCTTTAGGATTTGAGATATCACATGATTTGAAGAACTACATATGAAATGTTAATTTTTAAAATTGGCAAACCCAGAGGAATATTAATAACCACCATTTGTTGAATACTTGAAGTATGCCAGGCACTTGACAGATATTGTCTCAAATCTCTCTTTGAGCTGTACTCCATTTCCCCTGTGAATAAGGAGGAAATGAATGCTTAGTTAAATAATTTCCCTCATCTTTAGTTTCACAGATGGAGAATTGCAGATAGGAGTTGAAGCAAAGTTACCCATTCTATAAGATCCTCATGCTTGTGGTGATGATTGGCTTATAGACTGGATGAGTTGGGAGTGGATTTCTTTATACCCTAGGAACTTTATTAAAAACTTTTTGAGGGCTGGGGATGTGGCTCAAGCGGTAGCACGCTCGCCTGGCATGCGTGTGGCCTGGGTTCGATCCTCAGCACCACATACAAACAAAGATGTTGTGTCCACCGAAAACTAAAGAATAAATATTAAAATTCTTTTAAAAAAAACTTTTTGATTCAAGGCACATTCTAAAATTTGCACATGCTTATCTTTGGAAGTATTGCAGAATAGTTGGTTCATTTTAGAATCACGTGGCTGCTGATTTTCTTCAGATTTGTAATCATGAATCTTGTTGAACATTGGAAGGTCACTGAGAGGCTTAGTAAAGCAAATGGTTGGACTGTTATATGTCTGGACTTCAAATATTTTCTGTTTATGATGCCAGCATTCTCC